TCTTTACAGATGTAATGTTTTAAGATGAGGTCATACTGGATTAGGGTGAGTCCTGAATCCAATGACTGACTCCTTATAAGAAAGGGAGAGGACGGACAGAGACACAGAGAGGGCAACATCATGTGAAGACAGAGGTGGAGACTGGAATGATGAGTCTACAAGCCAAAGCATAGCAAGGATTGCTGGCCACCACCGCACACTAGGTGAAAGGCATGGATCCAGTTCTCCCTCAGAGCCTCTAGAAGGAATCTACCCTGATGACACCTTGATTTTGGATTTCTAGCCTCCAAAACTGTGACAAAATTAATTTATTTGTCTTAAGCCACTACTCTGGTGGTAATTTGTTACAACAGCCCTAAGAAACTAGTAACAATCATAAATCTTTCCTTTCGTGTGTGTATAAAAACTTAGACTTTGCTCAGTAACAGGCCAAGGCTGAGACTTCTTGGCTCAGAGCAATTATAGGCTTCAAATAAATTAGCCAAAACATCTTCAGATCTTGTACAAGGATCATTAAATCGCATGTTATTACATAGAGTGAATACTTATTGCTAAAAAATCCCAACATTTTTCTACTAGCTGATTACTTATTATGAATTATTGCTATATTATCCTTCTTATAACAATACTCACTTGCATAACACTCTTAAAGCAGCAACTCTGTAACACACAATATAGCAGAATTGTGTGTTTTTTACTTCTTGCCTATTCCAGGCATGGTCATGAACAGTTATTTTGGAAGCTCTTATACCAAATTCTGATTTAATTTTTTTGTGGGTCATATCTTAAAAAAGGATACCAGGCTGGTAAGGAATATCTAGTCTAGTCCCTGAAGTCTCTGGTAGATTCCTTTTTTTTTTTCACTGGAAGCCAAATAAATTCAAATGGCAAACCTGTGGTCCTTTCTACTGCACGTCAAATTACTAAAATAAAAGAGTAAATATATGTACTGGTATGTTTTTAGAATAACACGCTTCTTTGAGATGTTAGAGGAACAAAGAAGTCTCTTAATCTCCTCAGGTACTCTATAAAATGAACAACAGATGTGAAGTATGTGATATTCTGACAAAACCTAAAATAATCACTGTCATTAAGTAAAGGCTCACTATGGATAACATGAAAGTATTTTTAAATACAATGGAAACACTTTAGAAAGATTATAGGAAGATTTTAGAATATCACCACGCTAAATAGGCTGTTTTGATTTCTTCTAGAATGCAATAATCAAAAAAACAAAAAAGTTCAACGGAGAAACTAAAGTTTTCTATTAAGGGTGTAAAAAGTGTGGTTCCTCAAATTCTGAGAAGAATCACTGGAGTTATTGAACTGTAGGATCCTTGAAGGTAAGATCTGGCAAGAACCAGAATGGTTACTAGCTAGCACCAGAAAACAAACTGACAAACTCTAAAATGAATACTTGCCAAATCCTCCTGAAGCAAGCCATCACAATACAGACAAATTGGCCGTGATATTAAATAAACACTAGTGGGAAAACTTTTCTAGAATAGCAGAGGATGGGCAATTCACGCCTCATATGTAACTAATATACTTATGGGAAAACAATCATCACCAAACAAATTTTGTAACACTGGTTCTTTCTATGGAACATAAACATGACCTACTAATAATATGTGTACTATTGCATATCGTTTTGAAGCATTTTCTTATCAAAAACGTCACAGCATTCACAAGACTAAAAAAAAATTAGAGTTTGTGTTTCCTACCCTGGGATACTGCAACTTTTCTATCCAGTGATACAGGAACACATTTAACTGGAACAGTCATTCTAGAATTACACAAGGCTTTACCGTTATACAAAACCTCACTCACCTAATTACTCCCAAACTTCTGGACAAAAGGATGAAATCTTAGCAAAACTGGGAAGTTACATTTTAGGAAAGATACTAAACTGAGGTTATTCAGATAATGTTAAGAAGCAAGAAGGCCCACTAAAGCTGCCAGGAGCGCAAGGTCCTGAGAGCAAGGTAATGGCACCATGAAAGAGAGAGCACCTCCCCCAAACCACTGGAATAAAAGTATCCTGTGGGTCACACTCTCCACTGAACGCTATTGTTTATTTTCCTTTTTACCACACTTTTCTTCTTTACAGATTCAAGCGTTGACGTTTCTGATTTAGCCTATTATACTCTGTTTATTGATAAAATGACTTGTCTAAGCTTTACTAGAGGCAATCATCACCCTAAATCTATATTCAGTTCTCTCAGCCACTTTAGTACTATTAAAACAGTGATGTAAAGATATGTACAATAACCTTACCAACAGTGATACATATTCAGACAATATGAAGGAAACTGAAGGAAAGAGTCCTTACACTAGAAAAAGTGCAACATGCAAAAATGACTATTTATCAAAACAATACATGGAGACAATATACTGGAAGTTCCTGAGGTTTTTCTTTTTTACCCTCTGTGTGGGACTATGCTCTTCAATGGCAAACCAGAATGAAGGCTAATAATTCTGTGAGACAATTAATTACATTTTCTCACAATTTAAGACTCACCAATACCTTTAGTAAACAACATCTCCTTACAAAGAGTCTAAAGGAATAAAACGTTTGCTGAGGTTACAAGTAATAACTGATGAAACAAACTCCTAAAAATATCAATCCCAGTAATGGACTTGAGGAATTCAAGATGGTCTTCAAAAAATCTGACCCTCCATTTGGCTGGTAGAGTAAATCATACAGCCCAAGCCCTTTGGGCACAACAAACTGGTTAAATATTCTTATTTATGGATAATACAATATCTAAATTGTAACAGATAATATATTAGTATTGCATTTTCATTTGATCAATGAGTAGGCAGCACCATTTCTAATACTTTGTGTTGACCTGAATTAACATCAAAAGGAGGATAGAGTGTGTGTGTGTGTGTGTGTGTGTTTGGGAGAAGGGGGATTACTCAGTGGAAACTATAATGCCGTAAAGGCATTTGGAAATTAACGAAGGTAAAAAAAGAACAGATGAAGAGATCAAGAAGTCAGAAGAACAATAAAATACATTAAGGAAAAGGAAAAATTGTGAAAATCAATAAAATTTTTCATCTATTTTTGCTGTATACTCTATAAAGATATGAGTGATAGGTTCAAGTATCATATTAAAATCAGTTTTGTTTTTATTAACTTTTTTTTGTCTTCTAATAGTTCTGCTTCCTGCATGGGTTCTTCTGCATGACTAAGAGAACAAACTTCATTAGATCTTGAACAAGAGTTAAAGGGAATAAGTGAAATGAAGCATATTAAGGAGAGAAATGGGATAAAACTCTAAAAATAAGAATCACACACATGTTTTTTGATACCTTGTTGATTGTCAATTTGTATAGTCTTGGAGGTAAATTTTGCTCTGTTTCAGGGTATTAATCCAAAAGTTGGTACAAATAGAAAACATAAATGTGTTTGTGATAATGAGAGAAGCTGATGAATAGGCTTAGAGCTACAGGGGAGAACAACAATGTCCTGTGATAGCATGTGATTCAGGATCACAGTTGCTCTTGGGTGTTTAGACTACTAAGTCCCAAGAACAGATTTTCACCAAGATGAGATGACTTTGCATTAAATGTCATTTTAAATGACATCAAGATTTCTACCTGATTTTAAATAGGTGAGATAAGTTTTGACAAAGTGAAGAATCTCTTCAGGAAATATAAGCTTTGTTATTCAACTCTCCTCCTAATTATCTGTAGGCTGCTTGCATCATCATTTGAGGCCAGATACTTGGGGTTCTATCAGCTTTCTCAGAACTCGTACCCTAAAATCTAGTGTACGGTCACAGAAGGGACTGACTCCTGATTCAAGGAAAAGAAGTTAAGAATATGCATAAAACCTAATTCCATAGTGTGTTCTCTCTCTCTCTCCCCCAGCTCCCCCTTATAGCTACAGAAGAAAACTGGAGAGCTTCTGATAAAACTTGACCTTTAGCAGCTCCACATTAGGCAAGCTCAGTTGCAGTCGCTCCAATTCATGGTACGAGTAGGCCAGTAAGGGAACGTGATTGGCTTTGGAGTATTTGAAAATTTCTCTGCCACCCAGGGTGTTTAGAAGGAAATATCTGATGCTGGTCAAAGTTAATCAATGGTCAAAGAAATCAATCAATTTCCTCTACTCTCAGAAAAACTCTACAGGGGAAATAAGTTCCCTTCAAAGTCTAATGTTTACTTTTAGGGTTTAGTACTGACAAAGCAGCCTACAGCTAAAGAAGCAACTTGCTAATCAGAAGATAAATTATTAGCTTAAGAGAAATTGAAGTGCAGAACTGAACAGGGAAATATCACAATCTAAGTAAAAACCAACTGGAAGGGATCCAAATCTAGTAAAGAGAAATATATTAGGAACATGAAGAAACCCTAGACAACTCATTTTTGAAAATGTTTGGTGAGTCTCATTAGAAAACATTTTCAACAAACTAAGCTTAAAAAAGGATAGCAGAGAGTCATTACTTGAACTGACTTGGCAAACTAAAGAACTCTGGAAAATGTAGTTCTTTAATTCTGAAACAACTGCAAATACAGAACTCGATCCAAATAGACATATTGACCAATCTATTCCAGAATTGATGTTTCAGGAAGGTGTGCTGAATATCACTGGTGTGAATCACAATGAGATACTTAAAACACAGCAGTTCATTGGGATTTGTTTTATACAAATAACACTGAAGATGAGTAAGACTTACTGTTTCAATCTGAAAAAATAAACCCTTGTCAGACAAAGCATGGCAACAGTATGTTTTTTAAAAATCCATCTTGAGTATGTAATTTTCCACCCAAAATATGACAGACGGCTTTCCTCAAATAACTGCAGTACGTAAGATAATAGTTGGAATGTGATTTCTCCTGGTGCAATACCACATATCAAAGGATTTCACCTTCGAAGGACATGAGGATGAATTGACTAACAGGCATTATGCTTCCAAGATATACACAACACTGCTGAAGGCGTTATATGGATGCATAAAACCATTAAGATGAAGGTTTATGTTACTTACAGCTGGAGATGTTTCTAGGTCACGCCCAAATTTCCATTGTCACGTCTTAACCATGTTCTAGATGAAGCTGTAAGAAATAATATACACATTGAGAAAAAGGGAAATTCAGAGATTTTAGTCAATTCCTTCCCTCCCCCCCCTTCAATTTGGTTCCTCATCAGCTTGTGAAAAGCTGCTGGAAAGTAACAGAGATTTTGCTGCCAGGTCTGAACTGCAGGGGTGGAATTGGCAGTAGTAAAACCAAAAAGATTGAGAAAATAAAAGATAATATAGATTGTCTCCTGTTGCGTCTGTTTTCAAATTACTGTGTTTAAATGAACTTCTTTTTTAGCAAACTGTCTTTAGTCTCTTTCTTCATGGCCTCCAGTGACCTTTAACTGATTCTTTATCTCCTTTGTGCCTCAAAGCATCTGAAACTTTGATCTTTCTCTCAAAAGTTTCATGTGAATAAATATAACATAGACTTTTTGGATAAGCAGTTTGATCAGGATTTAGGGACTATATGGGCAACAAAATGTAATTCTAAATAATGTCATTATTTGAGGCATTTATTTAAATAAAAATAAAATTTTAAAAGATTATTAAAAGGCAAACAGTAAATGTAGCGCAGTTCATCTCTAGAAGAGGGATGATGATGCTGGAATAAGACTGGTTTTTCACATGGTCTGTAATATAAATTTCAGCTTGTTAGAGTCACTTTTGAGAGAGTAACAGGATTCCTCTGAATATCTGTTTGATAAGGAGCAATGTGCCTTCAAAGGGAAAACAAGCACTTTCTAGGAAAGAGAAAATGCTCAATAGTAATACTTCTTCTAAGTCATATAACGTGGAAACGCAAATATTGGACCATTTTTGAACAACAAAAGATGGTAATGGTACGTCATAGTATTTGGAAGGGCAAGTGCCCCCTGCTTGCACAGCCCTAATTCTTTTTCAGAACTATCTTTTGGTATTTTTATTTCCTTACTTAGAATTTTTATTACAGCTGCATTACACTGATGGAATCATTTTGGAAAAATTGACATAACAAAGGTATTGAGCAGTTGCATTAATAAATAGATACATCTCTATATCCATTTAGGTCATTTATGTTCTTTAAGAACTTTTAAACGTTCTTCATACAGACTGTATTAGTTTCCTGTGGCTGCCATAAAAAAAATTACCACAAACTCTCTTGCCTCAAACAACAGATATTTATTCTCTCACAGCTCTGGGGTTCAGAAGTCCAAATCAAAATGTCTGCAGGGCTGTGCTAACTTTCGAGGCTCTAGGGGAGACTCTATTGAGTTGTTTCACTCTTTAGCTTCAGGAGGCTGTAGGAATTCCTTGATTTGTCGCCTGGTGGCCACATCACTCCAATCCTTGCCTCCATGGTCACATGGCCTCCTCCTCTTTGTGTCTGTTCTCCTTTGCATGTCTCTTACAAGGACACTGTCATTGGATTTAGGGTCCACTGGTTAATTCAGGATCATAGCCTCATCTCAAGATCCTTAACAATTACATCTCAAAGACCCTTTATCCAAATAAGGTAACACTCATGTGTTCTAGATATTTGACATGAATGTCTTTTGATAGAGGGGTGGGGGAGGGGTGGGGGAGGATGGGGAACATGTTGGAGTCTATTATAGAGGCCTTGCACATTTTATTAGATTTTATTCCTAGTCACACTATATTTTTTCCTAAATGGTAACTGCTGGTGTAGAGGAATGGTATTAGTTATTCATCCAGCAATTTGCTAACCTTTCATAGTAGCCTTTCTCAGATTTTTTGTAGTGAATCATATTATATCAAGAAAAGAATATGTATTCTTCTTTTCTGTATTTATACTGCTTAATTATATTTATCTTATTGAATTAAATAAGACTTCTAATGTATGAAACAGAAATAGTAATAGTAGCTATCCTTGTTTTTTTCTTGATGTAATTCTCAAGCCAATAATAAAAGTTAACATATAGTATTTATTACGTGTCCAAAATTGTTCTGAGAATGTAAGTTCTAAATATATATACACATATACACGTATGCATGATATACCTAATACAGCTGTATCTGTATATACAGATATACTCATTGAGGCCTCACAATAATCTGAGGTACCATCATGATATATATTTTATAAATAAGAAAACTGAGACTTATCACAATCTATTTTAGGTTAATCCTGACTTAATTTTCACTTAATAGAGCAAATCTGCTCCAATATGGTTTCTTCCCCCCCACTTCTTTTTCTGATATTGTAATATTTATCATACATACATAAGGTCTAAATTCAACAATACAGTGTAACAACTATTGTTTTCAACAACCTTGTGGTTTTTAAAGAAATGAAGAAAAAAAAATATAGATGTACACAGTCTTTTGTATTTGCCCACATATTTACCATTACTATTCCTGATGCTCTTCATTTCTTTCTGTAGATTCACCTTACTGTCAGGTGTCATTTCCTTTCATCCCGAAGGACTTCCTTCAGTGATTCTTATACGGCAGATCTGCTATCAATGAATATGAATTCTCTCAGTTTTTGATTGGGAAGGTCTTTACTTTCAAAGGATAGTTTTGCCGGATTTAAAATTTTGGGTTAACTCTTTTTGCTTTTAGCACTTTAAAAATGTCATCCCACTGCCTCCTGTTACCCAGTTTTTCAGAAGAGAAGTCAGTGAATCTTATTTTTGTTTCCTGCATGTGATGAATCAGATTTATTTGTTGCTTTCGAGCTCTGTCTTTGTCTTTCAGGGGTTTAATTATGATGTAGCTAGGTGTGGATCTCTTTGTGTTTATCGTACTTAAGGCGTGTTGAGCTCCCGAGATCTGCAGACTAATATTTTTCATCCATTTTAAGCCTTATTTCTTTAATTTTTCCACTGTTTGTCTCCTCCCTCCTGTTTTGAGACTACCATTGCACATCAATTAATATGCTTGGCATTTTCCACAGGTCTCCGGATTCCAATATATTTTTTAGAGTTTTTGTAAACTTTGGAACCTGCTTCCCCTGTAGTGTTTTTCTCCTGATGTCTCTACTCAATTGCTTTATTCTTATTTTTAATTTTAGACTGCCTTCCTAGTGGTTTGTCCTGTGTCTGCATAGCTTAGTGGTCAACCAGTGAGTTGGGCAAAAGTTGTACTCAAACATCTTGAGTTAGTAAGGTTTCCCACTGCTGTTCTGAGTCAGGGATGGGAAGTGTGTTCAAAATCGAGCTATTTCTCAGTCTTTTTTGGCTATTATTTTCTGCCAGGTTCTCTTGGGTCTCTTTGGTCATGTAGTTTCCTAGACAGGCAGGGATATGTGGAGAGTTCATTTAGCTCATCTATGGCTCTCTCATCTCCAAGATATCTCTGTTAAATTCCTGGTTGTATTGCTACTCATCCTAAATGAGACAACAACCTCAGACAAACAAATTGTAGGTTCCCTCCATTCATTTCCTGGTTGTCACATTTAGCTGACAATGATACCAGTTTTTCCCTTCTAACCCAAATTAAATCCACCCTTTTTAGAAGCAAAGCTGCTGGATTTTACATCCAGAAACAGGCTGGTAAAATCATGGTTCTCACCAGCTGAGCTATGGGTTGGGGGAAGGATGGGACAGCTCTATACAAGAAAACCACAGACTCCCACAGACTTGAGTATTCTTACTCAAAGATCTAGTTGTTTTAAAAAAAATAAACATTTAATTTTTTTTGTCCACTTTTGGTCAATCTCCAGAGCTCTGAAATGGTTGTTTTAACAACTTTATCAATTTTATACTTATTTTTAGGGGAACACTTTCCTAACTTTTTCACACATCAGAGCTGGTAATCACAGTCAACAGTGTAATTTTAAATTACTTCTGGCACTCAGTTCTACAAATTAACATATATATATAGAGCGAGAGAGAGAAATATAGATGTATAATCTATCTATCTATATATATTATAGATAGATCTACATATGTGATTTTGTATCACTGTTTATTACAGACAAAAACAGAGCTCAGATGTAGGCTGCACATTATATCTAAGTTGAGTAACTGGTGGAGCCAAATATAAAGTAAGGTTTTCTGAATCCAAATGCTATGCTTTTTACATAATATCATGATACCTTTAAATCAGAAACCCAATTAAAGACACACTCAAAACCAAGGAATTAGTGTGATTCAATTGAGTAGATGGAGATACCCAACCAGTAGAAAAAAAAATCTTACCTTTTTTATTGTCAACCTATTGCTATGACCCAAGGTCAAATGTATAGCCCTGTGTAGGAAAAGGTTAGTAATCTCTCCTTTTCATTGTCTTTTACTTACATGTCCATAACCAATTCACTTCATCTGTCTTTTCTCTCTACTTCCCTTATACCTCCAAAAAGTTAGAGCCATAAGTAAATTCAAAACTAGGTCTTCATAGTGTACAGCATACCCAAAACTAATATAATATTGTAAATCAACTATACATCAATAAAAATAGACTAATAAAAAGATATTTGATTATCTAAAAACAAACAAACAAAACTCACTAGGTCTTCCTGAGTAAAAGTTCAGTACTAATTCAGGGGAAAGGAATAATAGAATTTAAAGTCACTTGCATCAGTGGCTTCACTGGTAATTACTAAACGTGAATATAAACTTGTCAATACAGTTCAGAGTTCAACAAAAATTTTGGACATATGGATGGATGGAAGGATGGTC